GGTGTTTTTCCTTATACCCTAAAACACATTTGAAGCAGAGATGTTCCTCCGCAGCAGCTGCTGAGATGACAGAGCTTAGCTATGTTTCAATATGGAATAAGCTGAATGGCCTTGAAAATGAAACTGATGTTTGAGCCTCAGTTTACACATAAACCCAACCGTCAGGTGAATTCAGACTCAGTCACCTTGTAGGACAGAGCCGACCTGCTCATAGAATTCCTACAAGAACAGACTGTGTCATCATTCTCCCATAGAATGACCAGTGGGTTTGAACTGCTAATCTTTCAGTTAGCAGCCAAATACCTTTACTCATTGTGCCACTGAGGCTCCTTAGTTTATACTGAGCTGTGTCTGGCATACTTTGGGCATGCTGCCAGGAAGGACCAGTCCTTAGAGAGGGATGTTACGCTTGGGGGATGGAGGGACAGCACAAGAGAAAAGACTCTGGATGAGATGAATTGACTCAGTGACTGGAATAATTGGATAATGGGGGTAGGTGTGTCAGAAATGATGAAATTGGCTCAGAGTAGAGCAGGCTTCAGGGTTGTTGTACATAGAGGTGCCATCAGGAAGAGTAGACTCGATGACACATAACAACAATAACAACAACCCTATACTTTTTATTTTGCAGAATTAACAAGATGAGTATGAGGATCCAAGGTGGGGGTGGAAGTAGAGGGATGAGGATGTGTGGGAGGGTGGGTTAATCATGGGGTTGAACAATTTGATAGTGGGTGAGAAAAATTGGAAGAATCTGGTATGAAAGACAAAGTCAAATTTTGTAAATATACTAGTATAATAAAAAAATAAAAGTATATATATAAAAAATAGTTTGGAAAGCACATGAACTACCAAAGGAACCAACTATTCTGTCTTAAAGGAAGTATAACCAAAGGGCTTCTTAGAGACCAGGATGGTAAAACTTAGTCTTATATACTTTAGACTTATTAGGAATTGATGCTATATCAGTTGATGTATTTAAACTAACAGATGCAGCCCTAGAGGTGCTCACCAAATTGTGTCAAAGAAATCAGGAGGACAACCACGTGAATGGAAGTGATGTATATTTGTTCCCATTCCAAAGAAAGGTGACTCAACAGAGTGTGGAAATTATAGAACATTATCATTGATATCACATACAAACAAGATTTTGCTGAAGATTATCCAAAAACGACTGGAACAGCACATCAGCAGAGAACTGCCAGAAGTCCAGGCTGGGTTTAGAAGGGGTCATTGTGCTAGGGATATTGTAGCTGATGTTAACTGGATTTTAGCTGAAAGCAGGGAATACCAGAGGAATGTCTATCTGTGTTTCATTGACTATGCAAAGGCATTTGTATGGATCATAACAAACTGTGGCTGACCCTGAGAAGAATGGGAATCCCAGAATACTTGATCGTGTTAATGTGGAACCTATAGTTGGACCACAATAACATCAACAGAGAGAGAGAGAGAGAGAGAGAGATCAGCTGGCCCAGTGGACAGAAAGTGATGCTACCAAGCCAAAGGTGGGTGACTTTTAATCCATGGCCCTGGGGCCTGTCTTTCATCGCTTTTGTTCAGACATTCCTCCAGGTCGTATAGCCCTGGTGTACAAGTTGCCATACAGTGGTCACTCGTGGTTGCTGTGTGGCTGAACACTGTGACACACATGTGTCAAATGCATTAATGGTTTGTTACCCAATGTGGACAGAGAGTGGGTTGGAGCTCCCCGATTAAAACAAGCTTGGAAGGAGGAGTGGCATCCACTTCTGTAATAGCTTGCCTCCGGAAACCCTATGAACCTGGAGAGAGGAAGAAAGGCACCCAAGTGCCAAGGACTTTCCTTCATAGGGTTGCTATGAGTCTCCTGCGACTCGATGGCACTTAACAACAACAACATACTTGGACCAGGCGGTAATCGTCAGAACAGAGCAAGGAAACACTGCATGGTTCAAAATTGGGAAGGGTGTACACCAGGGATGTGTTCTATCTCCATACCTTTTCAACCTATATGCAGAACAGATTATCCAGGAGGCTGGGCTCTATGAGGAGTAGTGTGGCATCAGGATTGGTGAAAGATTCATCAACAATCTATGTTATGCATATGACACAACCCTGCTTGCTGAAACTGAGAACCTGAAGCACTTTCTGCAGAAGACCGAGGATTGCAGCTTTCAATATGGAGTGAGGCTTAATATCAAGAAGAAAAAGATTCTCACCACTGGACCAATTGGCAGCATCAGGATGAATGATGAAGAAATTAAACAGTTTTAGTTTGCTTGGCTCCACAGTCAACACTCTTGGCGTCAGCAGCCTGAAATTAAAAGATGTGTTGTGATGAGAAAGTCTGCTGTTAGCAACCTTGCCAAAGTATCAAAGAGCAATGATATCACTCTGGGGACTAAGGTGTGCCTGATATAGGCCATAATCTTTGCAATCAATTGCTATTTATCAGAGATTTGGACTATGACTAGGGAGGATAGAAGGAGAATTAATGCCTTTGAGCTATGGTGTTGGAGAAGAGTATTGAATATACCAGGGACTGCTAAGAAAATGAGCAGGTTCATCCTGGAGAGGGTGAAATTGGGCTGCTCCTCGGAGGCAAAGATTCTGAAGCTTCTTCTGACATACTTTGGACATGTTGCATGGAGAGATCAGTCCTTGGAGAGGGACATCATGCTTGGGAGGGTGGAGGGACAGAGCAGGAGAGGAAGACCCTCAATGAGATGTACTGATTCCGTGACTCAGGTAATGAGGGGAGGTGTGTTGGAGACAGTGCGATTGGCACAGGACAGAGCAGGGTTTAGGGCTGTTGTGCATGGGTCACTACGAGTCGCAGGTGACTCGATGCACATAACTACAACATCAGGAGGGGACAAGTCCTAGGGAAAAGACACTGTGCTGGGAAAGGTGGAGGGTCAGTGAAAGAGGACGACCCCCATTGAGGTGGATTGACATAGTGACTAACAGCAGACTAACGCACATTGGAAATCATGAGGACGGTGCAGGATGGATCAGATATGTTGTTCGTAGGGTCCCTGTGAGTCACATTGTTATTGTTCTGAGATGCCATCAAGCCAACGACTACTCATAGCCACTCTATAAACCATAGATCTGAACTTTAGCCTATCCTGTGCCATTTTCACCATTTGTGACACACTTGAAACCATTGCCCACTTTTCCAAGCATGATGTCCTTTTCCAAGGACTGCCCCTCCTAACAACATGCCCAAACCATCCTCGCCTCCAATAAGCACCCTCTTTGTGCTTTCTCCAAGAAGTATGTTTTGACAGTCCAGAGGGTAGTCAGGGCTCTTCTCCAATACCACAACATAACAGCATCTTGATTCTTCCCTCGTACATAGCCATTGTTCAACTTTGTCCAGCTGTGCACATTAGTCTTTAAATTGACATCACTGTTCTTCAGCACTTTAGAAAAGTCCTTGACTGGAGATTCTCCCAATGAAGCATGTAATTTAATTTCTTGACTCTTCATACCAAATTACTACCTCTGGGCCAATTGGCAGCACCATGACTGATAGAGAAGAGATTGAGGTAGTTAACAATTACAACTTGCTTGGCTCCACCATCAACACTCTTAACACCAGCAGTCAGGAAATTAAAAGTTAAATTGCTTTGGGAAAATCAGCTCTCAGGGACCTCTCCAGAGTACTGAAAAGCAACGATGTCAGTCTAGAGACAAAGGTGTACCTAATCCAGGCCATGGTCTTTACAATTGCTTGATATGCATCAGAGAGCTGGACAGTGGCTAAGGACAGCAGAAGAATCAGTGCCTTTGGGTTGTGGTGCTGGAGAAAAGTCTTAAATACACCGTGGGCCTCAAAGAAAACAAATAGATCTGTCTTGGAGAGGGTGAAACCAAATTTCTCCTTGGAGGATAGGATTTTGAGGCTCCATCTCCCTTACTTTGTGCATGTGGCCAGGAGAGATTGGTCCTTGGAGAAGGACATCATGCTTAGAAGGGTGGAGGGACAGTGCAGAAGAGGAAGAACCAGATGAGATGGATAGATACAGTAACTGGGGCAATGGGAGGTTATTGTGTTGAAATCAGCAGACTGGCTCAGGACAGGGTAAGTTTCAGAGCTGCTGTACATAGGGTCGCTATGGATCGCAGGCAACTTGACAGCACATAACAACAATAATTCACCAAGGGTGTTGATTATGAATCCAAGTAAGAGGAAATTGTAGACAAATTCAATATTTGCCTCCGTCTTCTATTGTCTATTGGCCTAGTGATGAGGATTTTTTGTTGCCTTGATGTTGAGATGTATTCCATTTACAAGTAAAGTTGTATCTTTGTCTGCAGCAAGTGTTTCAAGTTCTTTTCATCGTTCTGCAAGCAAATAGTTGTCGGGCATATTTGGAGTAAAATTCTAAAGGGGTGAAATTCTTAAGAGCAGAATATGTGCAGATTTGTGTGCAGAATATGTGCAGATTTGTGTGGGTTGAAGTAGCACCGTAGTAATTCAGAGCTCAGAATCAAGAGTTAGGGTTCAGGGTGATGGAAGGAGAGAGCATCTGTGCCCAGCACAGGCAGAAAGATTTGGGCAAGAAATGGACATTTATTATTTAGAAGCATTGAAGTGAGTGAAATAGGCTGGGGAAACAAGAGTAAATGGAGAAAACTGTGCAAGTCTTAAACGGAGCTCTATGTATAACAGAAGACTGTGAGCAGGTCTGCAGGGTTGCACGATTTGGTGGGTGGAGGGATAAATAAATGAGAAAGATCCATCAGGGGATGGGGTAATGACAGGCATGGTCCAATGATGATTATTTTTATGAAAAGATGTGCATAGAAATGATTGTATGAAACATATTGTGAATGAAGAACAGTGTAAAACACAATGTATTAGAGCTTTGTAAGCCAATCAATAGAAAATAGAAATTTAAAAGGAAACCAAACCAAAACAAAACAAAACAAAACACACTTTTGAGGGAAAAACCCAGCAGCCACTACGCTACAACGCCTCATGCCTTCCTTGAACTACATTTCCCAGAATGCCGCCGAAAAGAGGGAAATACCGGAAGTTCCTCCAAACAACTTCCGGTTCAAGTGTGCGCCACTCTCCCTCCACGCTGGGAAGAAACATGGCCGCTGTAAGGTCGCCTCTGCTTCTGCGGAGCTTTCTGACTGGCCCTCGGGGCGTCTGTCGGGCTTATTTCCGTGGCCGAAGCCGACCCCGACCCCGCTGCCTGTTGCAGCCCCTGCCTGGGCCATGTGGGGCTGCGCTGCCATGCCGCCGCCTGGCCTCCGAGGCCGGTAAGTGGCCCTGCGGACTGCCATCCTCCTAGGAGACCTGGACAGATGATGGCTGGGGAAGGAGCCGGGGCGCAGCCGCACGTCCTGAGACCCAGCCGGGCCCGCTTCTGCACTGCGTCTGCGTCTGTGCACGCATGCATGCATTCATTCATTCCCTGGCCCCACCAGCTCTGCCCTGGGCACGGTGCCCCGGAGACTGGAGGCTGCACTAAAACCGAAATGGATTTTTCCAAGGGGGAGCTTTGGGCCTGGGAGGGAGGTGGCCGTGCAGCGTGTGCAGAACTTTATAGGCGCTCGTAGGAGAGACACGCACCCCTTCTGTAAAAGGGTTCCTGGACTAGATGCCCGTAGTTGACAGCTGGTTGACCGTGCTGGGGTGGAAGAAGCAAGAGACATCACAAACAGAGGAACCGCACTGGCAAAGGCCCACAAGTGAACCTCAACGCACATAGCTTGGAAATTCATTTTAGAGGTTAAATTGCTATATCAACTGCCCTTGGGCAGGCTTCAGAATCCTCATTTCTAAAATCAGGGTAGAAATAAAGACACATTGTACTGGCAAAGTCTGCAGTTAGGGACCTCTCCAGATTATTGAGGAATAATGATGTCAGTTTGAGGACTAAGGTGCGTCTCATTCAGGTTATGGTCTTTCCTATCACTTGCTATGCATCTGAGAGCTGGCCAATGACTAGGGATGACAGAAAAAGAATTGACACCTTTGAGCTGTGGTGTTGGAGAAGAGCACAGAACATCCCATGGACGGCCAAGAGAGCAAACATGTCTTGGAGAGGGTGCAGCCAGAGTGCTCTTTTGAGGCAAGAATGATGAGGCTTCACCTCACATACTTTGGGCATGTTGCTAGGAGTGGCTGTTCCTTGGAGAAGAACGTGATGCTGGGAAGGGTGGAGGGTTTACAAAGGTGAGGAAGACCCTCAACCAGGTGGATTGACACAGTGACTGCTGCAGTGGGCTCTTGCGTGTCAGAAAGTGTGAGGATGGCGCAGGATAGAACAGGGTTCAGATCTGTTGTTCAGAAGATCGCTGAGTCGTACTTGACTCAACAGCACCTAACAATAACAATATCTGTTTTGCAGGTGGTGGTTGTCAGCATTTTGAAATTGTCTATTATCCCTGGCATGTGGGAGATGCTGTAATAATGGTATTATTACAGTGATTGCTCGTTTCCCTGTTAACATCTCCTGCTACACCTGGACTATCTTTTTTTCAGTATGTGTCTCTTCTCATCCCAGTGAATGCCCAAGGAGTGTCTAGCAAATGAATGATTCTCAGTGATAACCACTGCTCTGCTGTATTAGGGTGGACATTTACCAGTAGCCTTTGTTATTAGCTTTTCTATCTAGAGATCTTGCTGCCTTGCTGGTTCTGATAGCTTCTTGTTTACCCAAACCCATTTCAGCAGAGTCTGGTAACTCAGAGATCAAGAAACCTGCGTTTATGGATGAGGAAGTCCAGAGCATACTCATCAAGATGACAGGCTTGAATCTGCAGAAGATTTTTAAACCAGCTGTGCAAGAACTGAAGCCTCCCACCTATAAGCTAATGACCCAGGCGCAGCTGGAAGAGGTGGGTCAATGTTGGTAAAATACTTTTCTTGAAGGGGTGAAAAAAAAAGATTTCCAGAGGCTCAGATGTTCAGAGCTGGGCTTCCACAGACACTGTTGTTATGTGCTGTCAAGTTGGAACTGACCCACAGCTGACCCTCCAGCGGGTTTTCAGAGGCAGTTAATCACACGGGAGGAGTTTGTCCATCCTTCTCCTGCAGGGCAGCTGGTGGATTCGAGCAACAGGCTCTTTGGTGCAGCTTCTTAGGCCACCAGAGCTCCCTCCACAGGCACTAGTGAGGTGAAGTTCTAGGCACAGAACTGAGAAGAAAATTGAGAGTAGGCAGACAGACAGAAGCAGGGAAAATACCAGAATCAAGCAGAATGGGGTACAGAGGTCAAGCTTAAGTGTCCAGCATGGCTTCTGTTCTCTGTGCCAGAATCCAGCTGAGCTTTCTTTTCCTTTCCTGCTGTAACTTCTTTTCCATAACAGCATCTGCCTTGAGCCTCGAGCTCCTGTGAGGCTATAGGTTTCTCGCAATCAGGAGATCCTGTTGAACAAGTACCTATAGCCAAAGTTACTGAGCATGTTGTAGGAAACACTTTGATTGAAGCATTATTTCCCCTGTTTTCTAATTCAAAAGTAGTTTAGAGTCCTAACCCAAAAAAATTCAGATATTCAATAGAATACGGATAATAGAAGAAAAATCAGTGCCTTTAAGTTGTGCTGGAGAAGAGTACTGAACTTACCGTAGACCACCAAGAGAGGTCTTGGAGAGGGTGAAACCAGTTGCTCCTTGGAGGCAAGGATTTTGAGGCTCTGGCTCACATACTTTGGGCACATGGCCAGGAGGAACAGGCCCTTGGAGAAGAACATCATACTTTGAAGGGTGGAGGGACAGCGCAGGAGGGGACGACCCCAGATGAGATGGATTGACACAGTGACTAGGGTAAAGAGTAGGTATGTCAGAGATAGCGAGACCAGCTCAGGGTAAGACAGGGTTCAGAGTATTGTGTGGAGGATTGCTGTGAATTGCGGATGACTCATGACACATAACAACGTGTATCAGTCACGGTGAGAAGGCACCGTAGTGGTGCAGGACTCTAGCCCCCAGCTGCTAACTGAGAGGTCTGTGGTTTGACCCCCCAGCCACTCTCTAGGAGGGCAGTCCTGTGGGTGGTTCTGCTCTGTCTCTGTTCTGTAGGTCACTGAGTTGGAATCGGCTTGACAACACACAGCAACAGCCCCATCACGTGAAACATAAACCCCACTTTTCATTTCCCAGACACAGCCACTGTTGACAGGATGGGAGGCACTGTGGTCAGTAGTTAGGAGCATGGGTTCTGGATTAGCTGCCTCGGTTCACATCCTAGGGTGGCCACTTCCTAGCAGTTTACGTAACCGTTTGCATATTTCCATTTCTCTTCCATGAAAGAGAAATGATAGTGGTTGTTGTTAAGAGATGCTGTCAAATAGTCAGATGTCAGATGAGTCAAATAGGACTCATTGCAACCCCATGAACCCTGTCCTCTCCGGCTCGATCTCATCATCTCTGACATCCCTGAGCCCTTTGCCGCAGTCACTGTGTCACTATCTCATTGAGGGTCTTCCTCTCTGTTGCCAGCCCTCCACATTTCCAAGCACGATGTCCCTTTTCAAGCAATAGTTGCTCCTAGCAACATGTCCAAAGTGTGTGAGTTGAAGCTTTGCCATCTTTTGCTTCCAGGGAGCACTCTGGCTTCACTTTCTCCAAGGCATACCTGCTTGTTCTTTTGACAGTCCGTGCACACTCTGTACCCTTCTCCCACACCACGTGATAATTGTAGCACTTCTTTCATAGATAGTTGGGTCGTTAAATGAGTAAATCGAGTATTTGGAATGACATCAGATACAGTAAGCACCCGATAAATGCACACCTTATTTCATTTCTGGAGCCTGGTTCTGCCTCAAGTGCCTTATTTTTCTGGGGTTTCTTTTGCGGGGGTTTTCTTGCTAGTTGAGTCACAGGGGTCAAGGCTCTCATGAACAGAGTCAGAATCTGCCTTTTAGTGATGGTTTGTGGCTGAAGCTTCTTCCCACAGCCCTTAGCATGCTTGATGAGTATCTGCTTTTCTTAAATGATCTTTTTGATTCTGTAACCTTGTGACTCTCTTTAAAAAATATCTATCTTAATCAGGCTACAAGGAAGGCAGTTGAAGCAGCTAAAGTCAAATTAAAAATGCCACCAGTTCTGGAAGAAAGAGTACCAATAAATGATGTGTTGGCAGAAGATAAGATTTTGGAAGGAACTGAAGCAACCAAATACGTGTTTACTGACATATCTTACAGAGTACCACACCGGGTGAGTATCTCTCATAGTAAAATTGATCTTGTTTGAAATACTATGTAGAGATGGGCCTAAGGGATTAGAGTTGCTCTGTAACCTGACCTTTTCTGATGCTCCAAACCAGAACTCACATGATGAGATCCTCCTGGAAGGTAGAGTATAAGGAGGCCGAGGAATACAGACCTGTTAGCTGCAGATTATGGACAGGGTACATTACACATTCATTACAAAGAAGGTGACAGATGTGTTGACACACACACACACATACACCTCAAAACCATAATCAGAAAAAATTTCAAGTCCATGGAAGGAGATTCCTACCTAAGCATCTAGTGACGTTCTTATTTCTAGCATTTTGAGAGATAGAACATTTGTTTGCCTGTGAATTCATTGTTGGTACCCCCTAATCCTGGGCTCCGCACTGAATTATTCCTTTCTGGAGTTTTCAGTTAAAAGCATTCCCTCAAAATTTTCAGATGACGTTGTGGTTTTTATTTGCAGACTCCACATACCTTGGTTGTCAGCTCTACAATAATGCTAGTACTTCAGAAATAGGTACTGATTTTCTACTTCAGCCATTTAAAAATACCTTAGAACTCATTCTCATAACATACAAAGCTGTTTAATGCTGCCCTAGGGAGAAGGGCCATTCCCATATTAGTCAGTCTTTTATTATATGGTTGGAAGATAATGGTTTGGGTCCATGTCTGTACACCAGTCATTTGCAGAGTCACCAAGTTTTCCTCTTAATTAGAATTTGTTTCAAGTACTTTCTGATATGGTTGTAATGGCACAAGGCTGGGCTGTATGAGGAGGTATGTGAGATCAGGATTGGAGGAAGATTCATAAAAAACCTGCATTATGCAGATGACACAATCCTGCTTGTAAAACTGAGGAGGCCCTGAAGTGCCTGATGCAGAAGGTCAAGGACTGCAGCCTTCAATATGGATCATCAAGAAAACAAAGATTCTCACCACTGGGCAACTGGCATCATCATAATGGATGGTGAAGAGATTGAGATATATAACAGTTTTAGTTTGCTTGGCTCTACAATCAATACTCTTGGTACTAGCAGCCAGGAAATCAAGTGACGAATTGCACTGGGAAAGTCAGCTGTCAGGGACCTCTCAAGAGTACTGAAGAGCAACAACGTCAGGCTGGAGACTTAAGGTGCACCTGATCCCGGGCTATAGTCTTCGCAGTTACGTGCTATGCATTGGAGAGTTGGACAGTGAATAGGGCTGATAGATAGAAAGAGAATTGATGCCTTTGAGCTGTGGTGCTGGAGAAGAATATTGAATATACCATGGACTGCTAGGAGAACAAACAGGTTTGTCCAGGAGAGGGTGAAACTGGGCTGCTCCTTGGAGGCGAGGATTCTGAAGCTTGATGAGATGGATCGATTCGGTGATTGAGGTAATCAGGAGTAGGTGTGTCAGAGACAGTGAAGTTGTCACAGAATAGAGCAGCGTTTAGGGATCTTGTACAAAGGGTCGGTCGCTATGAGTCACAAGCGACTCGACGGCACATAACAACCATCGAGTCGGAACTGGCTCAGAGCTGACCCTCCAGTGGATTTTCAGAGGCTGTAAATTGCACAGGAGGGAACTGCCTGGCCTTCTCCTGAGAAGCCCCTGGCGGATTCTCCGTACCTCTGGGTTGGCAGTGTAGTTCCTTACCGTTAAGCCACCAGAGCATTTTATAACCTTAAAAAGAGAAAACTTGAAATTCAGGTTTCTCAAATTGTCAGAATTGTTTTGAGAAGTATTTGTGTTACTTAGGCATCTGCTATTTCCTCCTCTTCCATTCAGTTGACAGTACTTGACAAACACTAGTTGTAACATCCTTAGAATGCCTTCTGAGGTGCTGTATCTCTTGAGAGGTTGAAAGTTGCCTCATGTGGATAACTTAGACAGGAGTGTATCAGTTATCTTCTCTGTGCAAGGCTGTGTGTAAAATCTCGTGAGTGCTGAGAAAGAATTGTAATCTATAGTACCTGCCCTTTCCAGTTCTAGACCTGGACTGAGATGTGAAAATTACCTCTCATGATAAATTGTCAATTGTGTCATAGAGATGTGGCCTGGAAGTTGACAGCTGGGAGAGTCATGAGACCATGTGGACCAGCACTCGCTGACACATTTATGGCTGGTGCCAATATTAAAAATCACCGAGGGGTGCAAAATTAAGACTCCACACACTTAGCTTTGTCTCTTTTATTATAAGGATTAAAAGTAGGTCACAGTGTGAAATTTACTGACAAGAGACTTCAAAATTAGGAAGTTAAACAGTTTAAGAAGTGTTGCAGTACCTCTCTCCTCTAAAATGGATTCAGGTGAGTCTCAGATGAGGGGCTTTTCCAGTTGAACTATTTTATGTACTGAAGCCCTATTAGTACTATGTTGTTTGCCATCAATTCAGGCCTGACTCATAGCTGACCCTGACCCTCCATTTGGTTTCTAGAGACTATAAATAACATGAGAGGGCATTGCCCATTTTTCTCGGGAGGAGCAGTTGATGGATTTGAACTGCTTGCCTTTGAGTTGGGAGCACATCTCCTTACCCACTGGGCCACCACAGCTTCGTCGTTAGTACTATATTGTTATCAGGTGCCATTGAGTTGAGTACAACTCATAGCATGGCTGTGAACATTAGATCAGATCTGTGTCCTATCCTGTGCCATCCTTATCATCTCTGATATACTCGAGTTCATTGCTGAGGTCACTGTATGAACCCATCTTGTTGAGGGTCTTCCTCCCTTTCACTAACCCTCCACCTTTCCAAGCATGTCTCTCTCCACAGAATAGTTAGTCCTTAATAAGTACTCTCATTCTTGGAAACGCTGCTGACTTAGAGGTAAGGAGTTGTGTTGCCAACCCAAAGGCCTAGGGTTTGAATTTGCGAGCTACTCCAGGAGAGAAAGGTAGGCATCTCCTCCCGAGATTCACAGTCTTTGAAAACCTGCTAAAGGGTCGTTTATGAGTTGGTTAACCCCATGGCAAGCGACAGCTTTCATTCTAGATGTCTCTTCCTTGGAGACACAGTAATGATTTGTGAAGGAAGTGTCAAACCTTGCCACATCTTGAAGGTGTAAAATCGCCATTGGCATCATATGTGCGTGATTGCATTTTACGTATTCTCCAGTTAACATTTTGTACTGTTGATTGCAAATTCTTCTTTTAATAGTGTTTAGTAGCTCACTGGAAGTAAAAAGAAGTCCTCTCAAATCTGTCCTTCATTAGGTTTTCTATTCCAGGAGCGTTTTATTGTTGTCAGAGAACCAAGTGGCACCCTGCGCAAAGCCACTTGGGAAGAACGGGACCGGATGATACAAATTTATTTTCCAAAAGAAGGTCGTAAAGTTTTGACACCGATCATTTTCAAGGAAGAAAATCTTAAGGTAAGGTGTCTGTGGTTTCCTGGTGAGAGCTTAGTTGCACTTTGCTTCTCTGGGGCTTTTTTTTTGCAGTTTGCCTTGTTCAGCATAGAAACATTTCTAAGAAATAATTTGACTAGGACCACGGCGCTGGTAGTTATTAGCTTGGCTGGGATTTGAATCCATGTGTGACGGTTACAAAGCCCACCCAGGCTTTTTCTGCACACTTAGACGGACAGAGATGTGGTGCATGTGGGATTGGAATCCATGTGGGACGGGTTCAAAGCCCACCCAGGCTTTTTCTCCACACCTAGACAGACAGGGACGTGCAGGTGGGTGAGACTGCCTAGTGTCAGGCAGGTTACACATTATCACGTTCAGCTCCTCTAATTGCAACACTGCTGTCTGATTGTAGACCATGTACAGGCAGGACCGGCATGCTGATGTCCTCAATCTGTGTGTTGCCCAGTTTGAGCCCGATTCTGCAGAGTATATTAAGGTAAGTATATAGATTCAAAAGCATGGGCTTAAATATGGTCAGAATTTTAAAAATCTAGCAGAGCGTATTTGTTTTTAACCATTGAGATGCAGGGAAGCAAAGGAAATGCCTACTGGGTACCTGATATGTACCTGATCCATGTTTGATTCTCACAGTTTTCAAGTTAAACATGGGGGAAGTCAGACTTGGAGAGTTAAGTAGCTCTCTGAGAGTTGCCCAGCTCCTAAGTGGTCAAATCAGCACCGAGGCTTAATGGCAGTGCCTGTTTTCTTCTCCCTTAGCATGCCAACCAAAACCACTGCCAGCTTGTTGACTGCCTTACGGTGACCCTCCCTCAGCTTTCCAAGGCTGCAGATGATGAGAGCAGATTGCCTCAGCTCCTTTACCGCAGAGCAGCCAACGATACACATCTCTAATCTCTTGCTTAGCAGCTTAACTTGTAACCCTCCAACCACTAGGGCTTCCTACTTAATTTCCCATGTAAAAACAGTTGTTGTTATGTGCAGTCGAGTTGTCTGCAACTCAGTGATTCCATGTACAACAGCCTTAAACCCTGCTCTATCCTGTGCCAACCTCTCTGTCCCCGACACACCTACCCCCATTTCCCCAGTCACTCAATCTATCCATTTCATCAAGGGTCTTCCTCTCTTCCACTATCCCTTTACCCTCCCAAGCATTACATAACTCACCAGAAACTGGTCCCTCCTTGCAACATGTCCAACGTATGTCAGATGAAGCTTCAGAAGCCTTGCCTCCAAGGAGCAGCCTGGTTTAACCCTCTCCAGGATGAACCTATTTTTTCTCTTAGCAGTCCAGGGGATATTCAGTACTCTTCTCCAACACTACAGCTCAAAGCTTCAATTGTCCTTTTATCCCTAGTCATTGTCCAGCTCTCTGATGCATAGCAAGTGATTACCAAGACCATGGCCTGTATCAGGCGCACCTTAGTCTCCAGAGTGACACCATTATGCCTCAGTACTTTGGAGAGGTCTCTGAAAGCAGACTTTTCCAACACAATACGTCGTAATTTCCTGGTTGCTGGTGCCAAGAGGGTTCATTGTGGAGCTAAGCAAACTAAAGCTATTTATAATCTCAATCCCTTCACCATCCATCATGATGCTGCCAGTTGGCCCAGTGATGAGAATCTTTATTTTCTTGATACTGAGCTTCAATCCATATTGAAAGGCTGCAATCCTTGACCTTTTGCATCAAGCACTTCAGGTCCTCCTCACTTTGAGCAAGCAGGGTTGTGTCATCTGTACAATGCAGATTGTTGATGAGTTTTCCTCCAGTCCTGATGCCGCGTTTCTCCTCATAGAGCCCAGCCTCCTGGATAATCTGTTCTGCATATAGATTGAAAAGGTATGGAGACAGGACACATCCCTGGCATATTTGAACAATGCAGTGTTCTCTTACTCAGTTCTGATGACTGCCTCCTGGGCCAAGTGAGCCGGAGAAGATGGAAGAGTATGCAGAGTCACTGACCAGAAGGAATTGGCTGACACAGAAGAATTTCATGAAATAAAGTAGGGTGGCTCAACTGAGTGTGGAAACTACAGGACAATATCATTGATTTCACATGCAAGCAAGATTCTACTGAAGATTATCCAAAAGTGACTGGAACAGCACATCAGCAGAGAACTGCCAGAAGTCCAAGCTGGGTTTAGAAGGGGTCGT